AGATCTGAGAGCCATCTGGAGACTTGGCTGCTTGCAAAAGGAATGCATCCCCCCCCCCCCAAAAAATTTCTCTTGGACAGGTTTAATGCGGAAAAGTGACCAGATCCCGTGAGGTTTTCCCCAATGTCACAGCTTCTGCTTCCTGTAACTTCTGGAAACGACTGGCGTTTCCACAGCACCGCCTGGAGATTTCCCCCGGGTGCCTGATTTCTAATGTGTGGAATATATCTTTATTTTAGAACTTGGTTTTGAAATAGGCCTCATGTTTCGAGACGGCCGTGCGCATCACTTAAAAGTCTCCCCCAGTTCCCTCCTGGTGCACGATTGCTGTAATTACATTCGTCTTCCCAAGGCATGGGGGCTGGGGGGGACAATCTGGCTCAGATCGACACCAGAATGGCTTCAGATTCCATGCCTGTTGCGAAAACATGCCACTTTCACTGCCGGATAATTGAAAGAGCCGCTGGCCTGACAGTATAGTGTCCAGATCAAGGGAAGTAATAGTACCTCTCTATTCTGCCTTAGTCAGGCCACACTTTGAATACTGTGTCCAATTCTGGGCACCACAATTTAAGAAGGATGTTGACAAGCTGGAAGATGTGCAGAGGAGGGCAGCCAAGATGATCAGGGTCTGGAAACGATGCCTTATGAGGAACTGTTGAAGGAGTTTGGTATGTTTAGCCTGAAAAAGAGGAGACTGGGAGGAGATATGATAGCCATCTTCAAATATCTTAAGAGCTGTCACACGGAGGAGGGAGCATGCTTGTTTTCTCCTGCTCTGGAGGGTAGGACTCGAACCAATGGCTTCAAGTTGCAAGAAAGGAGATTCCAACTAAACATTCGGAAAAGCTTTCTGACACTAAGAGCTGTTCAGAAGTGGACAGACTCCCATGAGGGGTGGTTGACTCTCCTTCCTTGGAGGTTTTTAAACAGAGGTTGGGTGGCCATCTGTCATGGATACTTTAGCTGAGATTTCTGCATTGCAGGGGGTTAGACTAGATGACCCTGGGGTCCCTTTCAACTCCACTTCCAACGATTCTATGATTCTATGTCCCGTACTGACAATATCGGCGGCATCACCAAGCACCCTTTCCACAGAGCAGCTGGCTGCTCCTGAATGTGGCGAGGGCAAACCTTGGGACAATATTTTCTTTGGAACTGTCAATTGTTTTTTTGGAGAGCTGAAAGCAAACCACAAACAGACACTGTATTAAATTCCTCCCATGGGTGTACCCAGGATTTATGTTGGGGAGGGCAGGTAGCCAGGATTTATGTAAGGGGGCAGGACACCCCCTCTGGCTCTGTCTAGCAGATCATCCTCTGGAAATGCCTCAACAACAGTTGTTTTGGATTACTTCCTTCTGACTCCCAAGTGCTCAGAAAAATACGCCAAAATCTGCCTACAATTTCTACTTTTAGTTAAGTATTTTTATTTATTTACCTGATGGGGGGGCAGCTACCCCCCCATCTACGCCCATTATTCCTTCCATATTTTAATTCAGATGATCAGTCTGATGAAAGGATTTCGGGATGTGGCTGCAATCCTAAACTCCCTTGCCTTGGAGTAAGACCCCCTGAACACATGAAGCTTCCTTCTGAGTAAACATGTATAACCTGGGTGACGTGAAACCACAGTGACCTATGAAGTTCTCCCCAGGCCACGCCCCTTCCCAGGCCACGCCTCCTCACCCTCCTTTAGTCCCCAGCCCACCCCTTACCTGGATGGAGGGCGGAGAGGCTAGACATGTGTCCTACTGAAGGAAGGGGGGGAAATTATTCATTGCTCCACCCCTCTTGACTCTGGCCCCATCCACCACTGACATGTGACTCTTACACAAGGGAAGGGAATGGAAGTTTCTTAATAAAGTTTCCTGCTGCTCCAGAGGGTAGGACTCAAACCAATGGAGCTGAGTGACAAGGAGATTATGATTCTATTTTAAGAAGAACTTTCTGACTACAAGAGCTGTTTGGCAGTGGAAGGGATTGTTTTGGAAGGTGGTAGACTCTCTTGTTGGAAGTTTTTAAACAGAGGTTGGATTTTGGGACATTCCCACCACATGTGGAAGTATGTACCTGCGGAGGTGCAAAAACAAATCTCACTACAGCCAACCAAAGAAAACCAACCACCCCCAACCTCTCTCACCACCAAGGAAACACAACGAGAGAATAGTAAGAGAACCCATATGAGTAACACTGATACAAAACACACGTACACTGAGTACACCTTGATTTTATCTTGATGTGTTATATAATTGATGTTAGTCATTCTGAGCCCGGTTTTGGCTAGGGAGGGTGGGGTATAAATAAGTATTATTATTATTATTATTATTATTATTATTATTATTATGAAGAAGAAGAAGAATAGAAACATAACATAACATAGCACAGGCAGCTGTAGCAGCAGGTATTGAGGTTTTGTTGGGGGCTGCAGAGGCAGCAGCAGGGTAGGACGGGGCTTTCGCCTCGAGCAGCATAACACGATGTGCCATGCCAAATGACAGGGCTGGCCCTGCTTTGAACATAATAACAGAAAAGGACACCTTCGTGATGTGTGCGTCTGCAAGTTCCCTGCTTGGCAGCCGCCTGCTACTGAGAGATTCCCCCAGTCTCCCAGGGACGCTGCCTAGGAGATGGGACAGTCTCCAGCAACAGCTGGAACACCAAGTTCCAAACGAGAGGGGCTTAAGGGTTGTCAATCTGTTCAGCAGATCAAAAGATTAGAAAGTTGGTGGTGCTTTGGCGCCCAACAAAAGCTTTCCTGGGGTGAAAATCCGAGGCACTGAATGACTTCTAAAAACAGTGTGGGAAGGCAGCAAAGAGACCCAGCAAGCTGAGAGAGAGAGAGAGAGAGAGAGAGAGAGAGAGAAAACCCAGAAGAAAGAAACCATGTTCCCCCACTTTTGGAAAAACACCAGTTGCTGCTTTGAAACTTGCATGCTTATTATGAAAGGATGCTTGCCAGTAGCCGAGTCATTTTGGAGGGGGGGACATGGGTGGCGCTGTGGGTTAAACCACAGAGCCTAGGACTTGCCGATCAGAAGGTTGGCGATTCGAATCCCCGCGATAGGGTGAGCTCCTGTTGCTCGGTCCCAGCTCCTGCCAACCTAGCAGTTCAAAAGGACGTCAAAATGCAAGTAGATAAATAGGTACCACTCCGGAGGGAAGGTAAACAGTGTTTCGATCATCATAACAGCCCTGTGAGGTAGGTCATGCTGAGAGGCAGTGACTGGCCCAAGGTCACCTTGCGAGCATCATGTCTGAGTGGGGGTTTGAACCCAGGTCCTATCCTTACACTCTTAACAACTACACTGTAAATCAGGGAGCCTTCTTGGTGGCTGCTTCCAGACACTGGAACTCCCTCTTGAGAAACCAGACTGGCTCCCTCCTTGACCTTCGGCCAGCAGGTAGAACTGACTGGTTTTTAAGGAAAGGGCTTTTAATAGTGCCGTGCTGTTTTTATCATTTGTATATGGACAGATTTGTCTGTTGTTTAATTTATTGCTTTAATTATATTTGAGTTTAATTACCTTTGAATCTTTCATATGTTTTTACCTTTTCATATTTTACTTGTGTTTTAATTTTAAAAAGACTATGCCATGGACTGGCAGGATACAGCTGGGGAACCCCCAAGGGAACCCCCAGGGGAAGAAGGCTCAGAGCCAGAGGACTGGTGGTGAGATGGCGATGAGTAGTCAGAGGGAGCAGACTGGGAGGAGGAGCTGTCAGAAGCTGAAGAGGCAACAGGATTAAGTGAGCAAGAAGAGACTGTGACAGAGAGCAGTTCAGACCTGGAGGCAGGAGAGGTGCGAGGCCAGAAGAGGGATGAGGCAGGGAAAAGGAAAAGAGCAGAGCAGAGATTGGTTGTACGCAGACACGGCCTATGACTGCTTGGAAAAACCCTAGAGAGGAGGCAACTTAGGCAGCCGTGGGAAGGTGGTGACTTTCAGTCCCTGCAACTGCCTCAATGGGGCAAGGCTGACTGGTAAGAGTTGCTGTGATTACTGTTTTGGTTTCTTTAAATAAAGAGTTAACTTCACTGACACCAGGCAGAGGGCCTTCTCGATAGTGGCGCCCACCCTGTGGAACGCCCTCCCATCATATGTCAAGGAAATAAACAACTATCTGACTTTTAGAAGACATCTGAAGGCAGCCCTGTTTAGGGAAGTTTTTAATGTTCAATGTTTTATCGCTTTTTTATTACAGTGGTACCTTGGGTTAAGTACTTAATTCGTTCCGGAGGTCCGTTCTTAACCTGAAACTGTTCTTAACCTGAAGCACCACTTTAGCTAATGGGGTCTCCTGCTGCTGCCACACTGCTGGAGCACGATTTCTGTTCTCATCCTGAAGCAAAGTTTTAATCCGAGGTACTATTTCTGGCTTATCGGAGTCTGTAACCTGAAGAATATGAAACCTGAAGTGTATGTAACCCGAGGTACCACTGTATTAATATTAATATTCTGTTGGGGGCCGCCCAGAGTGGCTGGGGAAATCCAGCCAGGTGGGCAGGGTATAAATAATAATAATAATAATAATAATAATAATAATAATAATAATAATAATTGCTGCTGACCTTCACCTGACTCTGGCTCCTGACAGCCACCCTGAGTCCCCGTCTAGAAAAAAGGCGGGATATAAACAAATATACTGCCGCTGCTACATGTCACATCATATTCAGGAGTACAGGTGAAAACAGCCTCCACTGCTGCCTGCTCTCCCTTGCCAATAGCACCTGGTTCCATTTAGAGCCAATCCTTAGCAAAGGTCACACTCCAGGCCAGCTGTCGTGTCCCAAGGGACCAGAAGCAGATAGCCTCTTGAAAAGACAGAGGTGAAGCCCAAGAGCAGCGAATTGGGAACAGAAGCAGATGTGTACTTAAAACTGGGCAGAGGTCCAGATCCAAGACAGCACTCGAAAAAGGTGATTCAGGCTGTGATGTCACAAAGAACCCTGCAGGTAGGCTTTCCTAGGGGTTGGTGGGCAGGGATTGGCTGCTGGGAGACCAGCTGACGGGATGCCATTGAAGCATGGTACTGCAGCCTAGATGGCACCCTGGCAGCAGGGCCTCCGTCTGCAGGTGGGAAATGGGGCAGTGGCAGCGAAGGAGATGAGTTTGAGCGCTGGGAGCCCCAGGTTGAAACTGTCATGGCTTCATGGCCAAGTGGGGATTTGAACTCGTCTCTCCTAGGTCCTGGTCCAACATTCTAACCAGTGCTTTTCTTTTTAGTAAATAAGGTGCTGGTACTCACCATGAAGGGATGCGGGTGGCGCTGTGGGTTAAACCACAGAGCCTAGAACTTGCCGATCAGAAGGTCGGCGGTTCGAATCCCCATGACAGGGTGAGCTCCTGTTGCTCGGTCCCTGCTCCTGTCAACCTAGCAGTTCGAAAGCACCTCAAAGTGCAAGTAGATAAATAGGTACCGCTCCAGCGGGAAGGTAAACGGCGTTTCCATGCTCTGGTTCGCCAGAAGTGGCTTAGTCATGCTGGCCACATGACCCGGAAGCTGTATGCCGGCTCCCTCGGCCATTAAAGCAAAATGAATGCCGCAACCCCAGAGTCGGCCATGACTGGACCTAATGGTCAGGGGTCCCTTTACCTTTACCTTTACTCACCATGAAGTTGTTACACTTTTAACATGGGGGGGAGGTGCCAATATTGCTTACCTGTAAGTACCCCCCAGAAAAAAGCAGAGACTCTAATCACTGCTCTACACTGCCTCACTGATGCCACAGGCAATTCTGGCGGGCACACTGGTGCTCACGGGCGCCACGTTGGCGACTTCACTAGTCCTTAGGGAAGAGGACCTATTATTGCAGTTTTTTGCGCACACCAAAGGGGCCATCCAGCAGAGCCCTTGGAGGTTGGCCTTCCCCAAGCAGCAGCAGAAAGGCAGATTTCCACGCATCTCCACCCGCAGGTAACTGCTGCCTCTCTCCGCAGAGGGATCTCTGAGTATTTGATTTGGATACAAGTGACAGATAAGGCCGAACAGGCTGCAGGATGTTAGACTCGGCCTCACCGGAGGATTGCAAACAAAATAGGCTTGCTAACTTGGAGGTACTCCCCTCGCGTCTCCTTCCCCCAAGCCCCCTCGAGCAGCGTGTTAGATCTCCGTCTCTCCATCTCCATCTAACAGGGCAAGTGAGACAGACAAATTTATTTGGCCAGCAAATATTGTTTTCTCTCTTTATTAGATGGAGGCTTTGAATGTTTTATGAGCTCCGGTATTATAAGATCGTGGTGGGGGAGAAGAAAGCATCACCTCCAAAAAGAAAAAGAAAAAAAATAGCAAGCCTGGTGGACTCCTAAGATGGGGAGGGCCGGGGAAGAGCGCCCAGACGGCCCTCGTGGATGGCGGCAGGTACTTTGCGCTGCTTGCGGAGACTGCATTAAAATGCAAATTTCTCTCTGCCTGCTGGGAGCAGATAGTAAAACGCTAAAGAGGCAGGAGGCTTCTCTTTCGCAAGAGAGGCAGGCAGGCCCGCGACGGAGCATGGGGCACTTTTTAATTATTTTCCTCGGCGCCTTTTTAAATGAGATTGGAAGTGTTTTCTCTTGCTGCAGAGGCTGAAAATAAACAAAGCCAGAGGGGTTTTTTTGCGGGTGTGTGTGTGTGTGTGAGAAACAGGGCTTTCAGGGGGTTTCTCGAAGGCCAATTGGGATTGAGAGACAGTGCGGAGTAGTGGTTAGAGCAGCCATGGCCAAACTTGGCCTGCCAGCTGTTTTGAGACTACAACTCCCATCATCCCTAGCTAACAGGACCAGTGGTCAGGGATGATGGGAATTGTAGTCCCAAGTTTGGGATACACTGCTTCACCTTGCAAAGGTTGCCTCTTCCTTGGCTTTGGGAACTGTAGTCCCGAAACAGCTGGAGGGCCAAGTTTGGCCAGGCCTGGGTTAGAGTGGCAGACTAGCACCTGAGAGAGAGAGACCACGGTTCAAACCCCTCATTCTGCCATGAAGCTTTCCCTGGCTGTGGCCTTTGGTCAGTCACTGCCTCTCAGCCTCTCCTACCTCGCAGGAGTGTTGTGGAGGCAGAGAACCATGCACACTACTGTGAGCTCCTTGGAGGAAAAGGCAGGATATAAATTCAATAAATAATTCGGAACCAGGTGGGGAGAGAAATTTAGGCTTAGGTCCTGCTTGTCCAAAGCAGCATCTGGTTAGCCACTGTGAGAACGAGATGCTGGATTAGATGGGTCAGTGGCCTGATCCAGCTATGGAGCTCAATTTAGGACCTTATGAGAGAACCAGGTATGCCACTATGAGCTCTTTGGGAGGAAAGGCAGTGGTGGTGTAGTGGTTAGAGCATGGGTAGGCAAACTAAGGCCCGGGGGCCGGATCCAGCCCAATCACCTTCTAAATCCGGCCTGCGGACAGTCCAGGAATCAGCATGTTTTTACATGAGTAGAATGTGTCCTTTTATTTAAAATGCATCTCTGGGTTATTTGTGGGGCATAGGAATTCGTTCTTCCCCCCAAAAAAATATAGTCCAGCCCCCACAAGGTCTGAGGGACAGTGGACCGGCCCCCTGCTGAAAAAGTTTGCTGACCCCTGTTAGAGTGTCCGACTAGGACCCCGGAGAAACCAGGGTTCAAATCCCGCAATACACCAGGAAACCTACAGGGGAGCCCAATGAGGCATACACGGTTCTCCCCCTCCTCAATTAATACCCACAACAGCCCTGTGAGGTAGGTTAGGCTCTCCCCGTATAAACCAACCCAGACTCTGCATTCATAATCTGAGGCCCTTTGTTGTGTCTGCAGGGTGGCAACACGAGAATGGGGTCTTCTCTGTAGTAGTTCACTGTCTGTGAAATGCTCTCCGCAGTAAGGTTCACCTGGTGCTTTCATTATGCATCTTCAGGTGCCAGGTGAAACCGTTCCTCTTCAACCAGGCCTTCGACTGATGAACATTCAACAGCCTTTTAAATGTGTCTGCGGGAAATTGGGGGAGGGTATTGTTTTGCTGTTTTGTTTTAAGTATTTACTTGTGATTTTATCTTGTATTTTATTCTGTGAACTGCCCTGAGATCTTATGATGAACGACAATATATGCATCACCACCATCACCATTATTACTATTTAACATCTTTATTGAAAGTTAAAAAAGTACATAATTATATGTGCACTAAACATGATGAGACGTAAATAAAACAGAGAGAAAGAAAAAGAGAAACAGCGCCTGTGTAGAAGGAAAAATAAAGGGGGGAGGGAGGGGGAAAACCCCCAAACTGTATACTTTACAAGGTTGTTATTGTACTTCACCAGATCTTAACCTATTACAGTATTTGTAAGCATGGATTCGAAATATCATTGAATCTGTCCATGGCAATTCTGCGTTTATATGCAAGTTGTTCATATGTTGCGAGTTTGTATAAGTCTTCAATCCAATCCTAGAAGGGAGCTGCATTTTTATTTTATTTTATTTTTCCAATTCATCAGTATCAGTCTTTTTGCTGTGGTAAGGGCAGGGAGACTCCACTCGTGTTGTCCTTTTGTAAGGTTTCGTGTACAGGGACGTGGGTGGTGCTGTGGGTTAAACCACAGAGCCTAGGACTTACGGTACTGATCAGAAGATCGGCTGTTCGAATCCCTGCTACAGGGTGAGCTCCCATTGCTTGGTCCTTGCTCCTGCCAACCTAGCAGTTCAAAAGCACGTCAAAGTGCAAATAGATAAATAGGTACTGCTCTGGCGGGAAGGTAAACAGCGTTTCCGTGCGCTGCTCTGGTTTGCCAGAAGCGGCTTAGTCATGCTGGCCACATGACCTGGAAGCTGTACGCCGGCTCCCTTGGCCAATAAAGCGAAATGAGCGCCGCAACCCCAGTCAGTCACGACTGGACCTAATGGTCAGGGGTCCCTTTACCTTTACCTAATGTTTCAAGAGCATATTTGCTCTGTATTATTATTATTATTATTATTATTAAGGTTGAGAGGCAGTGACTGACCGAAGGCCACATCCGGCGAAACCTTCATGGCAGAGTGGGAGATTCGAACCCTCCCACATCCTAGTCTGACACTCTGACCACTAGACTGCACTGCCTGACTGAACGCAGTTGTGGGCGGGGAGGAGGAGGCTGGACTTTTCTATCCCGCTCCCTTGCGCGCGCACAAACCCCTCACCAACTGCTGCAGGAGACTCTGCCGCTGCTGCTCTTGCCAGGCGCAAGGCAGGCGTGAGAGACAGGTCTGCAGGAAATGGTAGGATGGAGAAAAGGAGCAAAGATTCTCCGGGCAGCCAGCGTGCTATTATTCCCCCCGCAAATCGCATCCGATGACGTCCCCCCGCGGAGTCCCCCTCCATTCAATCGCGAGCCATTGATTAAGTGCTTTGCGTAAATCTCTGCGCCAGTGTGACATCCCGGTCTACAGGGCCGGTTTTCGACAGCCATGCTGGTTTAAAACGCAGCCCCCGCCCCCCGAGAAGCCGGGACAAAGGCAGGCCCTGATGGAAGACAGTTAATCGGATGCGATGGACGAGCTGGTGGCCGCGGAGAGAGAAGGAGGGAGGAAAAGACAAGGTCCTTCCCCAGTTCTTCCAAGCTGCGCTCAGCGGAGCGAAGAGCAAACGGCACATCAAAGGCAGCGCGGAAATGAGCCTGTGTAATCCGAGGGGGAAAAATAGCCACCAGCGCTTCAAGAAATGAGCCGCCCCATCTCATCTCGAGCAAATCCTGGCACCCCCCTGCTCACACACACCTTAAAAAAAAGGAGAGAAAGGCCTCATGTCAGCAGATTCCACTCTCGGCTTCGCCTTAGGCGATCCTGGTCGCCTCGGCGTCCCGTCAGCTTTCCGCCTCGCTAATACTTGCACATTTCTTCAACTCAGCAGGGCCCTGACGAGCTGGAGGAGAGGAGATTTATCCAGCCAAATTGGTCTGAGTAATAGGGAGTGCGGCTCTTAGCTGGGATCAATAGTGGGGGGGGGGGTGCGGTTTAATGTAGAGAAAGGGGAGCTGAGAGAAGCATTGGGTTGGTTTTCCACTGAAAACCTGGACCCAATTTGCACACCCCAAAACAAGAGGCGTACCAAGTGTCCTTCGGGATTTGTTTATTTTATTATCGATCTCATGAAATGTATACACTTATTGATTATTAAAAACCAAACAAGCCCTCAAAGAAAACAATACAATAAAATTATCTGCAAAAAACAACTCTTTAAAACATTCAAAAAATAAAATTGTGCACATTTAAAATCACTGGTAGCATTAAGATAAATTCAACAGTGTAAATAAGTTTTGATGGATGTAACAATGGAATACTGAATGGTTTGGATTTATGTAAATTATGCAGGAATGTATGGTATGCAAAATTAAACATGGAAAGAGAAGAAGGGAAGTCATTGATTTAAGGTTGTTTAAATGAATATTTTGAAATGTAAATTAGAAATTTAATTTAAAATTTATATATTATATATATGAGAACCGCTTCTGCCACAATAAAACAGATTTAAACAGATTTAAACTTGAAACAACTTTCTGAACATCAGGGTAGGCTTGTTTTTGTTTACATCAGGGTAAACAAAAATGCTCTTAGCAGCTGCCAAAATCTGTACAGTGAAGGCACCTGCCTAATGTCAATAGGCAGGGAGTTCCAAAGTGCCACACTATTTCTTACAAATGTGGAATGTGTCTTGTTGCATGCTCCTCCAATGTCTGAGCAGTGTGAGATTCCAGGTTCTCCGGGTACTTACCCAGGGTTTGGTTTCCTCAGGCACAGTGGAGACTGTGGTGTCTTTATGATGTTTATTTACACATATATACAACCTGAGCCTAAGATGGAGGGGCTCACAGCATTAACACCCCAAGAGGGTCTTGCTTCTCCCATAGCCACAGCCTTGGATTCCAGCAGAAATCAGGCATGGCTCTGACTCTCTGTCTTCCCAGCCTGCTGCTTTGCTTCCAGCTTCCACACATACCACTCTGGCTTTTGTCTAACTACCAGGGAGTTGAGGGAGAGGGGCTACCCATTTGTTCTCTGGCACAGAGCCACTTCCTTTGCTTCCTTAATGGCCCATACTTAGAGGGCCATTACCAAGAACTTTGGCCACTCCCTGTTGGATCCAGGAATTGGAATGCACCATGGGAAAACAGTCCTCCTAGGCCTCTGGCTAATTAAATAAGCTATGACCTTTTAAACAGTGTGTGTCAGAGGGGTGTCGTTATTTCGTTTGCTATTATGTTATGCATTTTTGTGTTTTGATGTTGCAAATTTCAAAGGATAAAGAGAGGTCAGCGTAGAGGTTAAAGATGAGTCTGAGAATCTGGAGGTCCCTTACTCTGTCTGTTTAAACCTCTTTCTGCAAGCTGAGCTGCCCCCAAACTTCCAACAAAGGCAGCATAAAAAATGCATGCAATAGCGAAAATAACTTGCAGAAATGCACTGTTATGGAAAATTCGTGGGGAAATGTGCATATCTGCATAGAAAAATGTGCGACTGGACACAAAATCTACAGCAAAATGCAGACTGGTTTCCATGAGGCCTTTAAATAATAAACATCGCAAACTGATGCAGAAATACGGCAAAGTGTATTTAAGGCTGGACAGATTAGGACCTGAGGGAAACGGAAATTGGCTGTCTTGTCTACTGCTATCCTTAAACTATTACAATCTAAGCATAGGCACCTTGTTCCTGCCTTTGCTTCGTGAGACAGCTTGTAATGAGGTCCAGACAGACAGCAGAGATGGTGCCTGGCCTGGTGGAAGGATTCCTGCAGAGAGGAATCCAACTTCTAGGAGTCTGAATAGGCTTTAAAAGATTCTAAGCCCACTTCCTGCTCTCACAGCGGCCAACCAGAGACCTCTTGAGGAGGATGTAAACATAAGAACATTCTCTCCACCGAAGATTCATGGCAACTGACATTCATAGGCATACCATTTCTGACAGTGGCGGTGTTTCAGAGGCCTGCTGAATTTTATTTTTTATTTCTGCAATTCTAGCTGGACATAAAATTCAGCCACCTGTGTATAGAGAATCAACCCTAAAACTCATATATAGTGGTACCTCGGGCTACAGACACTTCAGGTTACAGACGCTTCAGGTTACAGACTCCGCTAACCCAGAAGTAGTACCTTGGGTTAAGAACTTTACCTCAGGATGAGAACAGAAATTACGCGGCAGCGGGAGGCTCCATTAGCTTAAGTGTTACCTCAGGTTAAGAACAGTTTCAGGTTAAGAACGGACCTCCAGAACGAATTAAGTTCTTAACCTGAGGTACCACTGTATAAGTGGTACCTGACCCCTTGGAAGCTGGCCCTGATCCAATCTGGTGCCTCACCACATTGCTAGAGGGGCTGCCCCACACCTGGTAAACATCTCCACATGTGGTGGGAATATACAAAAAACCAGCCTTTCTAGAATTCAGTATTCTGAGAAATTAATAAAGTAACAAAACAACAATTGGAAGACAAGCCAGAATTAGTTTAATTAAATATATTTCAAGACAATAATATGGATTCACATAATAAAGAATTAGGAAGTGATTTATTAAGTTAAAAAGTCCTAGACTCTACAACTTTCCCTTATAGGGTAGTCACGGATGAAGGCAGTCCTGTATAGGGAAGTTTTTAATGTTTAATGCTTTACAGTGGTACCTCGGGTTAAGTACTTAATTCGTTCCGGAGGTCCATTCTTAACCTGAAACTGTTCTTAACCTGATGCACCACTTTAGCTAATGGGGCCTCCTGCTGCTGCCGCTCCGCCGGAGCACAATTTCTGTTCTTATCCTGAAGCAAAGTTCTTAAACTGAGGTAATATTTCTGGGTTAGCGGAGTGTGTAACCTGAAGCGTATGTAACCCGAGGTACCACTGTATTAAGTTTTTGTGTATCCTGGAAGCTCTCCAGAATGGCTGGGGCAACCTAGTCAGATGGGCGGGGTACTATGGTGGTTGTTGTTGTTGTTGTTACTACTACTACTCCTCCATCTCCTTGATTATTTCAGCTGCCGTTTTCTGGACCTTTTTGAACTCTACAATTTCCTTTTTGAATGAAGGTGGCCAGGACTTTGGAGGTGCTTTAAACATAAGGGATGGCTCTGCTGTAGCTGAGCACCTTGCCTGGCACCAGCCTGGCTCCAGGGGCGATTGGTGGGCCACTCTGGCCCAGCCTCTGTCTCCACTGCAGTGAGCTCCTTGGCACCATTTCCAAGGCAGGTTGCTATTCCTCATGCCTAAACGGAGTCTTTTCATACCCTTCTGTTTGGCGAGAGCCTCCTGCTGCGCGGAGCTATTTCCAGACGCTAATTAGCAATCCATCGATTGGTTGCAGGGGCTGTTTAATGTCTGCGCTTCAGACATACAGACTCAGCGGGTGTCGTTTCAGAGTGGGAGAACGAGGACCACAGTCTCCACTTCTCCAGCATATGTTGAGCGCACTGGGCCCCCCGCTGACAGCGCTTTCGCACGCCACCCCAGTCTCCGGAGTGCTAGGGGTTCCAGGCACAAACTCAGAGTTTTATTTCGGTGGAATGAAGGCCAGCAGAGACCGTGGTGCCATTAGGATCTGTGGCTTTATTTATACATGCATCCTTTTCAGCTTTGTTTATGTAATTTATACACTGCCCTGTTATGTACTGAGTTGAATAGGATTCAGAATGCAGCAGTCTGATTGGTCCTAGAACAATAGGATTCAGAATGCAGCAGTCTGATTGGTCCTAGAACAATAGGATTCAGAATGCAGCAGTCTGATTGGTCCTAGAACAATAGGACCCAGAATGCAGCAGTCTGATTGGTCCTAGAACAATAGGACCCAGAATGCAGCAGTCTGATTGGTCCACAGAAGCCACCCAATCCAGCTCCAGGTGGAAGTGAATCCGCAACCTGATTGGCCTACAGGAGAATCCCGGAATTAGCCAGCCACGTGGGGCCCATTGTGTAAATAATGTATATAAAGCAGACATTCTGGGAGAACTTCCATTCCTCCTCACCACTATGAGCTGAATAAAGAGCATGAAATCCACTCTCGACTACGAGTATATTTCACTGGCGACGAAGGTGGGATCCCTCATGCCCCTCATCAAAAGATGGAAGGCAAGTATACCAATATTGCCAAATGGTTGATTTTTGTCACTTTTGAATTTACTGGCACCTTCTGTATTTTGTATATTTGTATTTCCGATGCTCTGGATTTTGATGTTTTGAATGTTTAATGTAAGCTGCTGTGGGCACAGCTTATGGTGGGAAAGTGGCCTACAAGGATTTGCAATCCATCAATATCAAGACATAATATCAGTACACAAATCTCGACACAAGGTAAGAACCAAAACAGTTATATGCATAAAATTATAATAAGAAAAAATATATGCAACACATAATAAAATACATAATAAAAAAACAGATTGTTACAACAACAACAACATAAAAATAAAAAGAAATTCAGCTACAGGGGAAAAACAAAAGCAGTGCACAGATACAAATCTTTCTGTCCAATGGTAGTTTTTAATCCACGGAAAATGACAGGCCCGCCCAGATCTCACCTGGGAGGTTGCATTTCCTCTCCCAGTCCCTGATGCCTTAAGAGCTTATTCTTCCTGCCTCTCCCATATCACATATATACAATCGAGCATAAGATGGAGGGGCTCACAGCACTGACGCCCCCAACAGATCTGGTTTCTTGGTTAGTCACAGTCTTAGAAGCTCACTGGACAACAAGAAGTAACCAAGCCTTTGGTGTTATTGACCCAGACCTGTGGAACTCTCTGACACTAGAGATTCAGCAGGGACCTTCCTCCTCAACTTTTAAATGCCTGCAGAAAACCTTTCTATTCCACCAGGCTTATGCATAGGATTGCCATATGTTCGGGATTTCCCGGACATGTCCTCTTTTTGGGGGCCAGCGTGCCCATACAAGCAGATTTCTGCATTTTACATGAAGTGTCTGGGTTTTGGGTTTTAAAAATAAATAAACTGGGTGTGGGGTGGGGCCTGTGCTAGGGCCGTGCTTGGCCTTGTGCTGTTTTCGGCACCTGCCAGGCCTTGCATGGCCTTCCTGGGGCCGTTCAGCCTCTCATCATCTGCAGACGAAGCATCTCCTGAGCCAAAGACAGCCAGGGCAAGAGAGGGGAGGGAAGGGGAGGAGGAGGCAAGCAGGCAGATGAGGAAGGGGTCAGCGGCAGGGAGAGGGCGAGCGACAGAGATGCAGGATGGTGAGGTGTTTCCCAGAATGTTTCCGGGTTTTTGCTCTTTGGAATATGGCCACCCTACTTATGCAGGTGTCAGGCTTCCCTCTCACGGTGGCAGCAAAGAAGCAGAGAAAAACAAAGAAGGGTTCTTACTAATTAGTTCATTCAATAATCACAGCGAGAGACAAAGGAATGCGGTCTCTATATAATGGCGTTGCTCCAAGTAAAGTCCCACCTCCCTACGTTGTCCCTATTCTACGTCACCCCTGCACCGGCTAATCTGAACTTTCTGCTTCTGAGCTCTCTGTTCTACTACCCGCAATGCCTGCCAGGTCCTGGGAGAGGGGGGTGGGGTCAGGAGTGCTTTCCAAAGACACTGAGTCTGCACCCTTGTGCTTCTTCTTCTTCTTCTTCCTCCTGCTCCTCTTCCAATATTTCCCAGCTTCTGCCCTCTGCAGCCTCTGAACTATGCCCTTCTGCAAACCATGGTTCTAAATCTATCCTGTTCTCCTGTTCTCGGAAAGGTTCAGGAGAAGGGGGGGGCTGTCCCCACCATTCCTCCTCAGTCCAGCCCCTGAGAACAGGCAATTTAAGATACACCCTTCCACAGTAGTCAGCTGCTTTCTGATTTTAACTTTTTAAAATATGGTTTTTATGGTATGCTTTTTTGAATGTACAATTGTTGCAGACTGTTCTGATAGCCTTTTCATGAATAGCGGTGTAGAAATGTATATTTATATACAGTGGTACCTCTGGTTGCGAATGGGATCCGTTTCGGAGGCCCGTTCGCAACATGAAAAGAGCGCAACCCGCAGTAGCGGGTCTACGCACCTGCGGGTTGCGATTCGCTGCTTCTGCGCATGCGCGTGATGTCATTTTGTGCTTCTGCACATGCGCAAACGGCGAAACCCAGAAGTAACCCTTTCCGGCACTTCCAGGTCACCACGGGACGTAACCTGGAGAACGTAACCTGGAGAACCTGAAAGAACGTAACATGAAGCGGACGTAACATGAGG